AACTTCTCCCCATCCCCCCACCCCAGCAGGAACTTTTCACACTTCCAGAGACCTACTATGAATGGACTGCATTATGACATGCTTTTCTGTGTGACATGATTTAGGTCATATTCTCCATATCCCGTCAAGAAAAGCTTCTGCTGGACGGCGGTGGTGCATGCCTTCCATCCCAGGAGCCAGGAAGAGGCAGGCAGATCTCTATGAGTTTGAGGCTAGCTTGGTCTACAAGAGCAAGTTCCAGGAGAACCTGGGCTACACAGAGAAACCTTGTGTCAACAAAACCAAAAGAAGAAAAAGGAAAAGAGCTTCATGGGGTTCCATTTGAAACTAATTACCAACTGAAAACAGCATGGGTTATTAATGTGTGCTTCTGAAAAGTGGGATCGCTACTTTTGGATGCGGCCCATAGTTACTGTCTGCTTTGATCTGGAGTGAGGCAGGGGACTTGAGGGAGGCTCTAGGGAACTGGTAGGAGCTACTGTATATATATGTTTGAGGTTTCACCCTCAGATAGGCCTGGCTTCCTTATTTCTGTTAAGGCTTGATACAAGAGAGTCCACTCTGACTCTGACGGTTTCCACAGTGGAGCAGAAGCACAGAGAAGCACGTGATGCGAACACGGAACTCTGTGCTCAAAGGGTCCAGGCTTCTGGTCTTCCTGTAAGAAAACAAGCATTCATTACCGAAACACGTTGGCCTGCCCGTTTTATCAAGCTCTCCTGTCATGTACACATCACATCACCATACTTGCTGCAGGCTAGCTCCCTGGAGAGGACAGACAGGGTGGCCATGCTTCCCTCCATCAGCTGGGAGGTGCCCCAGTCCGGCTGCACATTTCGAAGTGGAATTCAGGCTGTGCAGAGCACGCACGTTTCAGTCTTGGTCTGGAGAGTCTTATACAGACGCTGAAGATATCCATTTCTAGGTATCAATACACGCACACTCTGCTAGTTCCCTGTGCATGCAGCCGCCTCCTCTGCATGCCGGCTACTGACCCGACAGGGGAGGAGGCCTCCACCCTTCTGCCTGACCAGCCACATACACAGCTGCTCTTCCTCTCTCACCCTCTCCTGCCTTCCTTCACAGGCCTGCCAAGGACTAAGCCTGCCTTCTGGTCCTGACCTGTGAGGAAAGGAAGCAAAGGGTGCGTCCCCTTTCTGTGAGGCCTTTTTCCTTTTGTTCTTCGAGTCACTTGAGTTCTGATACACAGTGAGGATTTGGAATACAGACGTCTATATTCAAGAAGAGCGAGCAAGGCGTACAGGTCTAGTGAGCTTCTCCTAACAGCTCAGCAGCAAGCAGGGAAGCAGACTATGATGTTATGGAAACAGGTCTGATGCAGCAACTTAATGTGGCCACATTCCTTAGTTCTCTCTCATGTGTCTTTCCCATAAGGAAATAAAAGTGAACAAAAACACAAGGCCAGAAGAGGGGCTGGAATACAGATGTTTGGGAGCCATGATGTGGGTGCTGAGAACTGAACTTAGGTCCTCTTAAAGAACAGCCAGTGCTCTCAGCCACTGAGCCATCTCTCCAGCCCAATCTTGAAAACTCTCAAGGCTTGTTTGCTAGGGACTCCGTTGTATTTATTTTTCTTTGTACTCCCATAAACACCTGCTAGGTGGTTTCTTATAGACTGCATCGTTCAGTACTCCCCAGCATCTGGGTGCACCCTGCTGACCCATCTTCCTGTGCACCTACTAATCTTCTTGTTTCTAGCCTATTAACCTCATCTGTTGAATTATTTTTAGACATTGTAAGTTTGGTATCATCTCTCCTGTGTTTATTCCTCAGTGTAATTCTTATTGATTTTAATGTATCTTATTTTTATTTATGTGTACGTAGGAGGTATCGCCTGCAGAGGCCAGAATAGGATATGAAATCCCTTGGAGCTAGAGTACGAATGCCTGTGAGTCACCTGACCAGGGTGCTGGAAACCGGCGTCCTCTGAAGGGGCAGCAAGTGTTCCTGACCACTGGGTCATCCTTCTAGTTCTTCAGCTAAGTCTTAAAAGAAAAAAAAAATCTATGTGGGATAAGGGGGATAGCTCAGTGGGTAAAGACACTTTCTGCCAAAGCTGGTGCCCTACCTAAGTGACAGAGAACAAACTCCTGCAAGTCAGGGCATGCTTGTATCATGGCATGCCCTGTCTCTGTATCGTAGGTGCAATCAGTTTTTAAAAAGAATCTCTATGAAGATTCTGGGGGCTTCTCTTCCTAGAAGCCTCCATCTCTGTCATTTATCTTTCAGATGTGCTCTTCTAGCAGCCCTGGACTCCTTATTAATTCCTTATTTCTCTGCTCAGAAGACAACTTCCTCTATTCCCAAAGCACCTGGGAAACAGGAGCACTCTGACGGAGCCGAGAAAGGGGTGCTGGGTCAGAAGATGTCCTCAAGTCCCTGGTCGCATCAGCTGCCTCCAGTACAGGCACTCAGTGAGTATCAGAGCCCACGGTCGGTTTTCTCACCCACTACCTCCCTGTGAACTGCTCAATTTTGACTTTGGTCTTTTTATGCTATTTCTTCTGTCTGGGATCCCCCTTTCTCCTAATGTACCTGGCGGTGCTCAACCTTCAGACTAAATGTACAGTCATCAAAAGTGGTATTTCTGAACAATTTGTTTAAATTTTATGCGTATGGGTGTTTTACCTGCATGTGTGCTTGTGTACTACATGTGTGCCCCATACCTGTAGAGGCCAAAGGAGAGCACAGGATGCCCTGGAGCTGGAAATGGCTCAGTGGTTAAGAGCACTGGCTGCCCCTGCAGAGACCTAGGTCTGGTTCCCAGCGCCCACATGGTGGCTCACAACCCATCCAGTTCCAGGGAATCCAGCGCCCTCTTCTGTCTCCTGAGGGTGCCAGGCACAAACAAGGTAAGCATACATACTGCAGGCAAACCACTCATACACAAAAACAAAAGTCATATTTTTAAAAGTGATAATAAAACGGTTGTGAGCCATCATGTGGATTCTGGAAATCAAACTCAGGCCTCTGGAAGAGCAGTCAGTGTTCGTCACTGTTGAGCCATCCACTCCCCAGTCCCCTGAACAATCTTTATCTCTACAACAAAAATGTATAGCAAATATCAAAGGAAAACTTCAAACTACATCTAATGCCAAGTAAATGTCAAGCTCCAAACTTGTCTAATGGAGATATATAGAACCCCCATGTGTATATATATGCACATCTGTAGGTATGTAGAACCCATGTGTGTTACATGCACATCTGTAGATATGTAGACCCCCCATGTGTGTATATACATGCATGTCTGTAGATATAGAGCCCCATGTGTGTATATATGCACATCTGTATATATGTAGAGCCCCATGTGTGTACATATGCACATCTGTAGATATGTAGAACCTCATGTGTGTGTATGTCTACAGATGTGTAGAACCCTATATGTGTGTACACATGGACATCTGTAGATATGAAGGGCCCCATGTGTGTGTGCACATGCACATCTGTAGATATGTAGAACCCCATGTGTATACACTCACATCAGTAAATATGAAGAGCCCCATGTGTGTGTACACATGCCCATCTGTAGATATGAAGAGCCCCATGTGTGTACACATGCACATCTGTAGATATGAAGAGCCCCATGTGTGTTCACATGCACATCTGACATAAGAAAATTAAGAAAACTGTTAATTTATAGATCATAGGATGGTATTAGAAGTTTTTCACATTTTAGAATAAATAAAAAGTATTATTAGTTATTTGCATGTAATGGTATTATATATTTTATTTCATGTTTTTCCTCTTTAAATATTTAATTTTGTGTATGAGTTTTTGCCTTCAGTATGTGTGTGTGTACCTCATTTGTACCTAGCACCCACAGAGGACCAAAGATGGCACCTGATCCCCAGGAACTGGAGTTATAAATGGTTGTAAGCTACCATGTGGGTACTGGGAACTAAACCCAGGTCCTTTACAGGAGCAGACTCTACTCTTAATCACTGAGCTACCTCTCATCCTCTATATTTTTCTTTCTTTTTGTTTTGTTGTTTTTCGTATATTTTTCTTCTTAAAAACATTTTTCAGATTTTCTGAAGTACAACACAACATTTCTAAACAAAAACACTTTGTATAACAGAATGTTCTTCATATACGAAGAGAAGTGAGTCTATCCACTGATACATGAGTGGCTGGAGACCATAGGAGTAGTCACTTAGATGGCTAAGACTCAATTAAACAAACAAAAATGAAACAAAACCCATGGACTGGAGAGAAGGTTCACTGGACACTGGACAAGTCTGAGTACGGCTCTTGCAGAGAACCTGTTGACAGCATCCACGTCAGGAGGCTCACAGCCCCCGTAACTCCAGCTCCCAGGGATCCAATGCCTCTGGTCTCCAAGGGCGCTTGCTCTCACATGCACATCCACACACACGTAATTTAAAAAGTGTTTTTAACTCTTACATATAAATGATGTAGGGGTCATAGAACAACAAGTAATAATGAAGTCAATCATCCAGGAGCAGAGTGGAAAATGAGTTTGGTTATGGACTGAGCAGTGTTCAGAACAGCGTCATCTATTTTGACAGGGCACCACCACTGCACACAGTCTCATCAATTTACACTAGCGTCTCAAATATCTGGTCCTGAGTGTGTCCTAGTTTGTTCCTTCCAAATCCTTCATAATGAGGAAGAACCTGTTAGGAAAATTCTAAAATGATTTCTCCAAAAAGTTTTTTTTTTTAAGCTCCATGACATTCCTTCTGACCACAAGGATATAGCTTGATTTATAAGTTTATATAATCTCTGCTTGATAATACTGGACAATCCTGATGAAGACAAGCCCCCAAAGAAAAAACTTCCATGTTTACCACCACTAGCAGACCACGCTGAAACCTTTAACTCAGCCACACCTTGATGTGAATATCTCCTAAAAGCCCTCTACCCATTTACTTAATTTCTCATAGAAGTCAAGACAGAATATCTCCAAACCCATCATAAATGACAACACTGTATCTTTTATTTTCTATCATGTAATTTTAAATCTCAAAACATCGATAGCTAAGAGAGTAGGACATCCGGCATGAAAAGACAACACTAAGCTGAAGTCTGCAGAATAGTCAGTCCATTGAGGTGACGGAATGCAGAGTGCCATTCTAATATCAGCTCCTCTCTTGTTCTTTGTAGTGACAGTTCAAGCGTATTTTTAAAATTTTTCACTTGTAAACAACATGAATCAAAATGGCCTATGAGGTAATCTAAGCACTACAAGATAATTTTAAAATACTAGATAAAACACCATGTTAAAGACATACAGAAATCAGGGTTCACTTTGGTCTTTATATGGCTAGAGTTGTTAACAGCGCGAGAGACACACACTGACTAAAGCCAGCTTGGTGGTGGGCACCTGCGGTTGACAATGTCAGTGACGGGAGAGGTAGTCGGCACCATTATTTCAGGCTGGGAACGGACAAGGGTAAGCCACAGGCGTGTTAACATCTGAATACTTGCTCACAGTACAGTACTTTGTTCCAAGCATAAGATCCACAATGCGTCACAGGTCACCCTCTCACTGTGACGGAACAACCAGGCCACAACTCACACAGGCACATCTTGAGGCTGCTGTCAGTATGTAAGACAGAACTGGATGCTTTCAACAAGTTGTTCTTTTTCTAAAACAAATAAATCTCATTAAGACATCTAGAAAATTAAAGTCGGCGCAGCTGCACTTGCATATAATTTCCCGGATTTTATAACAAAGGTGAAATTACATATATATTTTAAGATAAACATTTCTTAGAGAAAACAGATAAATTAATTTAAATTAACTTAAGACTTAATGAGATTCCCCACATCCTGTCTAACCCATCCTACAGTGAGTGTCACAGAGTCTACTGACACTTGGGGGCTTCCATTCACAAACTATGTGCAACCAGTGGCATCTCAGGCCTGCACTGGTGCAAAATAAATCTGAGTCAGAGTACAAAAATAATTGGCAATAAAAAACATCCTATATTTGGGAGGTGGACTGATGCTAATATCGTGATGTCTTTATCCTTTTCTGTAGATTGCACACTAAAATTTCTAAGTCATAAGCAGATAAAAATCTCCCTAAATCATTCATTTGTAAAAATACATCCAAAGACTAGAAATGCAGGTATAAAAGTGTCTCCACTACGTCCTGCTGTGTAGAGAACGAAGGATTCACAGGCTAAAAGGCTGGTCGGGCATCATTTTTAGGAAATACCTTTGTGTTGACGTGGGGGGGCGTGTCAAAAGGTGGCTCGATTCTTAGACCGTCACCCCATTATTAGGAACCCCTGAAAAAATGGTGCTTCACAGACTCCTTTCCCTCCTGGGTAGGAGTGGCACTACACTTTAAGTTCCCTCTATGGCAGGCAGCCTGGTGCTGTTTGTCATGCACCAGGGGCTTGTAATGGTGTAGTCTGCTTTGTCTTCAGTGCAGCAAAGATATAAGTGAAGAGAGTAGGAATTTTTTACACCACGTTTGCTTCTGTTCACCCTCCTGCTCCCACCTCTGGGCAACAGAGTTATTTTCAAGACTGTTTCTGTGTTGTTTTGCTTAGCATAAAGAGTGCCTACACTCCCTTAAACTCAATACATGTTAACTTTAAGGAAATGCGTGGAAACTTTGCTACCTGACATGAGAAGTCCTATTATTCACAGGCATTTTGGAGAAACATGCAGTTGTAAACACCTATCTATGCTACAGATTAAAAGTGTCTGTACCAGAGAATTACTATAAGGCTGCAGCAGCATCAAGGTATGCTATGTAATAGCTAGGAGGTAGCTATTTGCTGTAAACGGAATGTTTCACCAATGGGAATGAACAATGTGCTCATATCAGTAAATTCACATCTGCAAGGAGTGGATGAGTTTGCTTTACGAGACTTTTCACATGAAATAAAAACAGGAGAACCAATACCTAATATTCAGAATTATGATCAATGTCAAACTCAGAGGTAGTTACCAACAAGTACATGTACAAACATAAAGACCTAATTTATTTGGCTTATTTTGAGTAAGCAAGGCGATAGACTAGTCTGTAAAGAAACAATAAAAACATCATATTGTATGTTCCCTGAGCAAAGTTCTTTGTCCTGAGCATGTAACAGTGACAATATTTTCATATAAAAAATAAACCCCAACTTTAACCATAAGGTTTTGTATGTGCTCTTAGTAATTCAGTCTGGTTAAATGCTGAAAAATGTCAACTGGACCCATAAGGTCCATAGTTCAAGTGTTCCAGAATTTTCTACTTATTTTTTAAAAGTGATCTCAGCTCTGAATTTTCATATGTAAACAGAATGTCCAATTTCCAAGTCCATAATTTCCTATTCCTATAGTCAAGGAACTTTGGTTTGAACTTTCAAAGCCACCTGTCATATTTTGCTTGTACAACTGTTACTTTGTTCATTATACTTGGGTGACACTTTGATTTGTCTACATAATTTAAATAAGCTTGAAATCCTCACATAAGGCAAGGCAGTACTTCTCTATGGCTACGTCACATTCAATATCGTCAACAGTAAGCTCTGCATTATAGCACAATGATACGTCAATAGAATACTACGGAAACTCTCATAAATACTGTCAAGAGATTCAAGCTAACCTGGAAAGGACTGGCACACAGGAGGAAGGAACTCCTCAGCAGAATGCATCTCATTTGAGTCTCGATGCTTTCTTGTTTGATTATCTGAGCTTATACCAACAGGCCCATATAAATTATATTTATTGCCAAAATTATGCACTGAAATTCCTTGATATCTTCTTGGAGATGTTTCAAAAGTTTTTTTTTTTTTGGTTTTTTTTTAAAACATGATGGCAAACAGACCTATACTAAGACAATCTGTTAGCAAACTGAGAATCCATCTGAGAAGATTCTTATCAATAGCCCTGAATGCTCACCCTGAAGCCATAACTTAGGTTACTTCAGCTTCTATGCTCTAGGTAACTGCCATGGCATCAAAGTCGTCATACAAAGTATTGGCCACATGGCAGCGGGGATTTGGTAACTCTGCTCCAGGCTTATCATTCTAGCTGCCTGCCACCAAACGCTATTCTTTTTAGTATCAGTCACAGACTGTATCTGTTGGGCATCTGTAAGCATCTACTTCATTTTCACTCTAAGCCCCACTATTTGTTCATTTCTATGGTGTTTTTGTTTGTTTTAAAACAGGTCTGAGGATTCTATGGGGATAATAAAGAAAGCCACTAAAATATACCCAAATAATTAGTTTCCTTTAAGGCTTCAGTAGTAAGTACAGAGACCTTCCCATTCTCAGTGATGGTTCAGGAGCTGCTCAGTCAAGGGAGGCTTCCGTTGCCATAGTCCCTTAAAAACCTAAGAAATGTGTAAAAGAGCTGGTATCAAAATACCACTAAAAAGGATTACACCATGATATTTATACACTACCCTCCCCTTCATTCTTCTTAATAGGCATGTAAATCACAATCAGAACAAACGACACTGAAATACCAGCCCAGAAACTTTACATTCATTGTCTTTTCTGGAGTTATGTATCCAAAAACAAAAAGCTTACGGCAGTCAGAGGCATTAGAGTTAAGTTGCCACCTTCAGACAGGAGAAGGCAGATAACAGCAAAAGCAAACACTCCATCAGCACCAGGACACAGCGGTGAATCCAGACTTGGGAGGCACCGAGTATCCCAAAACCTTTAGTACCATTTGACTGGCAGTCTGAGATCTGATGCATACTTTGGTTCACAAAAAAGTAACAGTTAGGAGGTTATGTTTATATAATATAAAAGAAAATTTAGGAAAAATTCTAAGGGTTAATTCTGAGACCACCTCAAATGTTTCACGTGGACTTTCAATGCTTGGAGATACCCAATTATCTGTGGGAGAGTATGTGCTTATATCTTCATAATACATGTATAAAGACAGGCCTATACACACACATATATCTATACACTTGTATGTGTATGAATATACCTGTGCTCCTATGTGAAATCCTCACACATACAATATAGAATCAAATCTCTCATCTCACTTTTGCAGCACATACTATATGCATTTCGAGTCTATAAAACATGAAACCCTGCTTAAATGTAAGTTGCTCAAGAATGATTTGTCTGATTAAGAAATTCACAGTTCCTCAACAGTAGTTAAAATCCCGGTCAGCTGCTATCTGTAGAATACTATTCCCCTGTGCTTGCGTGAGGTAGACTTCCCAGCTGGGTGAAGAAAATGCCGACGAGATTAAGTTTTTTTCCGTTTTTGAATTGAAGGCCCCTTTTTATTTGGCTCTTCTGTTGCTACAAATGCCTTCGTGGAAGAAACTTCTTGGGGTGACCTGTCTGACTGCTCTGCCATCTCTGACCTTGCCTCCTGAGGAAAAGGTGATGTGTAGCCATGGCCCCCTCCCACTTCTCTGGGCGAAGCAGAGGTGCACGGCTGGGACTCTGTCTCCTGTCTTCCCTGAGCACTGGCGGGCAGCTGTGCGACAATCCTGTGCGGGCAGTTTGCCACCATGTGCATGATGCTCTGACAGTAATGGCACTTCTTTGGCTGAGGAGGTAGACTACATTCTTTAGCATGATGGTCAAGGCCACCGCAGTTGTAGCATCTGCAAAGAAATACGAGAAAAATATCTTAAAAGTAGGTAGAGTATATAATTAATGAAAAGCAGTGGTTATTAAAATAATTAAATATTAAAATTATTATTATAAGTAATAATTATTGAAATAATAATTTACATAGATGTCAACTTTAATCACCAAAGTTCAAAAGCTGCCAATGAGACCAGTTTACTCAATGTGACTTCTTGATATGGACTATTTATACTATTTATACTGGCTGCTTTAAGGTTTATCGTTACTAAAATGACCTAGCAACTTTAGAAATTAGTTGGTGAAACACAGCAGTCAGTGAAAACAAAGGCATCGAAAATGATAAGGATTCCCATACAGAAATGAGTCACTCAAGTTTAATGGATTATTGGGAAAGAATAGTTTGACCCACTAGATGGCAGTCAATGATAAAGCAAAGATCCACCAGCTGGCTTTAAAATGAATACAAAAATATAGTTAGTTGTCTGCCATGATAGAAATTAACTTGCTCAGCCCTTAGGAAAATTATAGACTAAATTAAGTTTTATGGCTTAAAAAAGACTTCAGTGTTTATTATTTTATCAATGGAAGCTAATAGGACTAAAATAATTTTTTTATCTTTGTATAAAATTTACAAGAAAATTTGATACCTAAGCTGTCTAATCAAAAAACAAAACAACAGTATTCAGTGAATTACGAAGTGTGAGGCAAGACAGTGAGTGTCCAAACCAGAACAATGCTTCAAAGAAGCATCTGAGGATGGAGACCAAGCAGTTCAGTCTAATGCTAGCTGATGACTGGAAAAGCTGGCTTGTTCTTCTTATAGACACTAGCTTTCCTTTAGAGTAAACTTCCCTAAACTGAAGGAAGCATAAACCTCATTCTTATTTGTTATTTAAATCTGAAGGTACACTGGAGACACCAACAGGGTTCCATACTAGATGCTGGAAATCCAACTTCTAAAAACTGATTAAAGAAATTCATTTACTCAATTCCAATCATAATTTCCTTTTCAAAATACAGTTTTAAAAATGGAGACACAGAGACTAGAGATATGACTTAGAGATTAGGAGCACTGGCTTCTCTTCTAGAAGATCCAGGTTCAATTCCCAGCAACCACATGGTAGCTCACAACTGTCTATAACCCCAGTTCTAGGGGATCCAACAACCTCACACAGACATATTCACAAACCAATGCACATAAAAAAGATAAAAAGGAATTGTCCAAAAAAAAAAAATGGAGGATCTCAGAAGCACTTGTATTTTTAAAAAGTTTTGATCTGAGTCTTAAAGATAGAATTTTCTCACTGATTAGTTTCCAAATCAACTGTTTAAGAGGTTTTTATATTAAATTACTTTCCAAGTACAGTTATAATTCCATATTTCTCACCATAAAGCACATTATAAATCAGTATTTCTTAAAACTGAAGAGCAAAATATATGATAGATGTAAAAAGTAGTTTAAGACTGCATGACTAATTATATTTGTATGTTTGAGAACGCCAAGCTTAGTAACTTAATTATTTTACATGTAAAAAACAAACTAGTTACTAGTAACTTAACAAGCACTGTACATAGATACTCAGCATAAATTAAGGTTAAGCATCGTCTGCTTCCCCATTTGCAATATTAGCATTTATTTATTTATTTATTTACTTACTTACTTAATGTATGTGTGCTCTATATGTATGTACAAATGTATGCCAGAAGAGGGCATGAGATCCCACTATAGATGGTTGTGAACTGCCATCTAGTTGCTGGGAATTGAATTTAGGACCTCTGGAAGGACAGCAAGTATTCTTAACCACTGAGCCATCTCTTCAGCTCCCTGTCAATATAATCTTACAGAACAGACAAGATGGGATTCTATTCTTTGGAAAAGCCAATGGACACTTGTTTATCTTAATAGACTGCATTATGTTTTCAAATGTAAAGAGAGAAGTCAATAAAGTGTTCTAATTCCTTGCTGCTCAAATATACACCATAGTAAATTAAGCACCACAACTCAGATACAATACCCCACACAATGACCAAAGAGTATAAATGGAAACGATGAAAATTATTCAGCCAATGCTTGATATTCAGGCCCTCAAAATACACTGGAAAATATCACCTATGAATCTGACCACATTACTTACTGGGCTGCTTTCCTTTATAGTTTTTGTCTATAATGAGAAGAGAAATTCTTACATTAAATTTGCCTTTTGCCCACCTGTAAAGTATCTTTTTTTTTTCTTCATTACATTCATGTGCTGAGGTCAGAGGACAGCCAGGAGTTAATTTTCAAAGACAGAAAATAGGAGGCAGACTCTAGGAATAGAGCCGACTCTCCTGCGTGCACAGCAGGGTCAGTCACTGTGGTATGTACTGCCTTTTCCAATTCAGGGAACCATTCTGCCTACTCACTGAACAAGAGCCTGGATGTCAGAATTCTACATTTACAAATGGAGTCTTAGATCATCATGTTTTGTGAGCCTGGTTGTAAATGTTATCTTAAAGAAAGATATACAATTTTAGTTTCCCGGCATTTCAATGTGCACATTTACCTGTTGGGATTTTCAGGTTATGTGTTAACATTAGGGTCACTGCCTTTCACACTGGATGATGAACATTCATTGTGCATGTGTATAGCCTTAAAAGGGGAAGTGGTATTCATTTCCCTCTTCTACTTAAGCAATGGCAATTGCTTTTACCAAGAACTCAGACCACAGCCCATTATGGAACCCTTCATCCCAAGGGAATGACATCAAAATGCTAATGTTCAGCTGCCTTTCAGTTCATAGATGATACCACAGCCACATGTGAAACCTGCTGTACATGGGTCTAGACACCTTTATCCATACTTTAAACTTCTCCAAATCAATTTGTTTTCGTTCATTAGAATGGATTTTATATTATGATGTGGGTATCAAAATAGTAAGTGTAGCACACACAGTCACAAAGCTAACACATGGGGAGAAAATGTCATGGCCAAAGGATTACATAAAGAAAGCTATAGTCATGCATTGTCATCAATTCCAAAAGCCTGGCCTAAAAGTTAACATGATCTATTGTCTAGCATCCAGGACAGATTCCCCAGCAGTGCTTTCAAACAATTTCAACCAAATAAATCACCTGTGTTCAGTATGTTATAAAATGCTGAGCCAATGGCATCAAGTAAACTCTCTTATGCATTAAGCAAAAATATTAACACAATTGTCCAGTTTAATTTTAGGGACATCATTAACTTCTTTGTGGAATCATTTGATAGATATGTTAACTCCAATGAGGTAGCACACATTCTATCAGTATTACTCATAATAGTTTAGAAGATTTTAAAGGTGGAAGAAAATTAACAGTAAATATTTTTAAGACTACCAAATTAAGATTACAATTTCTAATTAAATTGAGAATTCCATCAGTAAATAAAACAGAAGACCTAAGATGGCAAAGTTAACAAAGAAAAAATTCACAAACATCTTAAGGTTTTCAAGTTATTTATTTCACTTTATTATGAAATAAGCAATTGTATATGTATATGTGTGTGATGTGTGTGTGTGTGTGTTGGTGTTAAATAATAATAAAAACTTTGATTTGGAAGTTAGAATTTAGCTGTTAACTATTACTCTTAAGAAATTAACTTTAATGAAATAAATGAATATATATTGTATTTTTTCTTTTAAAAACAATTTATGGGGTTGGAGAGATGGGTCAGTGATTAAGCACATGTACTGATTTTGCAGGTGACCCAAGTTCAGATCCTCATAACCCTGTTGGGCGGGGGCTCACAACCGCTGTAACTCTAGCTCCAGAGGGAGGGTGATAGGAGATTCTCCTCTGTATGCTGTGAATACCATTGGTGAATAAAGAAACTGGCTTGGCCTGATAGGGTAGAACTTAGCTAGGCAGGGAAAACTAAACTGAATGGTGGGAGGAAGAAGGCAGAGTCAGGGAGAAGTCATGTAAGCCTGGCCAGAGACAGATGCCGGAACTTTAGCTGGTAAACCACAGCCATGTGGCGATACACAGATGAATAGAAATGGGTTAAATTAATATGTAAGAGTTAGCCAATAAGAAGTTAGAACTAATGGGCCAAGTAGTGATTAATAATATGGTTTCTGAGTGGTTATTTCAGGTCTAAGCTGCAGGGTGGCTGGGAAACAAGTGATTTCTCTTGCAACAGTAGGGATACTTGTAGCCCCTATTGGCAACTGTACTCACTTACACAGACCCATACATACACACTAACTAAAATTAAATACATACATAACTAAAATTAAAATCTTCAAAATGATTTGCTTTTATGTATGTGTATGTATGTGTGCCTGCATGAGTATATGTGTACCATGGGTGTGCAGGTACCCACAAAGGTCAGAGATGTTAGATCCACTGGAATCAGAGTTGCAGGCAGTCACGAGCCACCTGACATGGGTGCTGAGAACAGAACCCTGGTCCTCTAGAAGGTCAGCAAGTGCTCTCAACTTCTAAGCCACTCTCCAGCCCAATAAATCATACTTCCAAATGACATCAGCCAGAATGATTAGAATTGAGATAAACTGAGAGTATTACAATTAAAATGTTCTTTTGTAAATAACACTTCAATGCCTACAAAGTCTTTACTAGTTGTATGTTTTCCCTCTGTTCTAAAAGTGATTTGAAAAACAATTCAGGGAGTAGTCATACTGTAGACATTCAGGCAACTATCTAAAAATATAAGAAAACAAGTTGAAATGGTTTCCAGTGTTTTGAAATGAAAAGGATTTACATAGAAATTCAAATCCCTGTCTGATCATGTTTTCAGGGAACACAGGCAAATACAGTAGAAGAAGGACAAACTCTGAAGAGAAGGAGGTGTAGGAAAGGTGTAGATAGAACTCCGAATTCTAAATGAGAGACCATGGGGACTTAAGAAAATCAAATTGGAAAGCACTTCAGTGAAGAAACTGCAGAAAGCTGTCCAAAGAGATCCTTTACCATTCTAAATTTTTGATTACAGCTAAATAAGTTCCAGAAACAGGGGGCAGAGGGTATAGTGCAC